AGAGTGGAGGTTTCAGCGGGAAGCCTTTGACTGAAACTTACTTTACTGTTAAAGTTAACTTGGTTATGGAAAGATTTTAAAATATATACATTTGGTTAAAAGTTTCTTTGGGAACAATAATAAAAATTTAAATTTAATTAAATGCTGACTCTAAACTTGAAAATTTAGTTCAAGGTTGACAAACAGTTTTTGTACAAATTTATGTTCACTAAAAAAAGATCATGTTTTAAATTATTTTTTTAGATATTGTTATCATTAGTTTTTATAAGTGGTGACTATTTATTTGTAATAATTTGAACCTAGAGCCTGTGCCTTTGTTAAAATGTTAATGTCATGGTAAACATAATTGGTTCTTGTGTGTGTGAAATAAAATAAAAAATACCAGGGGTTCAGTGTCATAGAGTTGTTCTCTCCAAAGACGTTAGAAGAATACCTATATAATGATTAGATTTTGTGTAAATTAATCCGCTATTAAGGCATTATATGCTGAAGCCACACCTTGAATGTGAACAGGCTTTTTATACCTGTGACAACCACCATATTTGGATATATTTTTTAAATTAAACCAGTGTAAATGGCTTCAGAAAATCAGAACATGTTCAATTACGCCACCGGGTGGCATCAAACTCAAATTATCAACAAAGGGTGTCAGAAGTGAAACTCATTTAATAAGAACTTAATACTTTTTTATATTTTTTATTATACAGTAAACTTGAACGCTATATTTTTTGTTTACACCATTTACCTTGTCAACTCAATTATTTATTAAAACTTCAAATTGCATAGGACACACAAATTGGTCATTAAAATCAAAGTACTTTTATTTCGTAGTGTTATTTATTCCTATGCGTCATACAATTGTATTAATATAAATACATTTATTTACTGATGACAGTTTATAATATATCTTTAATAATTATTTAACAATATATGTACTTTGTTTTAAGAAAGTATTAAACCATATATACAGAACAGGTTCATTAATATGGAAATCATCAACTATATAGCAAGTGAGAAAAAAAATCAACAATGTCAACAGTTGTAACACCTCTAATGAGCAAGAAAAGAAAAATCCTTAGAAAAACAATGGCAAAGAAAGGGAAAAAGTCTCATCTCTTTTTAAATTTTTTTTTTACATTCAGATAAAATAAGAAATAAGTTTACTATAGCTTGAATAAAAATATTACTACTTATTACACAATTTTGGGAATTATCACAATGTTTCTACTTCAACCTGTTAAGCCTTGGCAGACTATCAAAGTCAGTTTGTACCACTGTTCACAGCTAGATGCCCATCACATTTTTCACTCTTCAATTTTTACATGTACCAATTACTTTCTGCAAAATCCCTGACTTGTATCTTTAGCTTATAATCACTACTTGCATAATTTCTATTCGATGATACATTTCTATTTTCACTGATTTAAGTATTTTAAAAATAATAAAGGATCTTCTATGAAAAAAATAGGGTGACAAGACAGGCATTCTGCGCTGGACTAAAGGTCAGCTCATTTTACAAAAATAATAATTTGAGAACACTTTTGTAAAAACATGTCTTTTCCTTATCCTCCTTTTACAATAATTGCCCTATGCACAAAGTGACATAAAGAACTTATGTAACAAGACTGGTATAACAACCAAGAGATGACATGCAGATAACCACCTCTAAATTGTTATATGTTGAGTCCCATATCATACTGAAGTGCTTGGCAATGTATACTAATACATATACATTTTTATACACTAATTAGGCAAACCAGTCTTTCAATGATTATTTTAATACATTCCTTCTTGTGCCGCACATTCCCAAAAATCACACGAGCATCAATGTATATTTTTATATACAGCATTTATACATAATTATATATATATATTTTTTGTTTTTTTTAATAAAGTAAGACATTTAAGATTCATTGAAGAGATGGAATGTGGTAGGAAAATATCACACTTGATTAAAGGGAAGTTACAGGAATTCTAGAAGACAATATTGTGATATGGTTACTTGTATTCCCCCTTATGTTATGGCCGGCGACATTAGCTGATCACAATGTTGTTTTATAGACATATATTTGCACAACTTAAAAACAAGCCACAATCAGTTACTTCCAGTTGACAAAACATAGAGCAATTAATTTTTACATAAAATAATATTTAAAAGCAAGATTTCAAATAATGAAATAAAATGATAGGTATGACACAGAAAAAAAAGAAACCATATTTAACAAAATTATAAATGCAGATGCATTCATAATTCACAACAGCTCAACTTGACATCCATATCTCTTTTCTACATATCCATAAATCTTTTCTTCAAAATTACCTCTGAACTAAATTATTAGGAAATGTTCAACAATTACTTACAATTAAGCTATGCTGTAAATAAAATGGGGACCCTGTAGTGTCATCTAAAGTGGTTAAGAAATATAATTGTGAACAAAAAATATTTCACCCTAACCATGTGCAGTAGACAATCTTGCAGGATTGCACTGTTTATTTTGCACAAATGGAGCTGCCATCACCTACACAATACACAACAAAGATCACATAATGGTCGACATTATTTTAAATTTTGTAGTTTTCTCCCTCTATTTCAGAACCACTTCTTAATTGTATTGAGTTAACCACTTCAAAATTTTTGTTTATAAAATTGAAAACAGATAACATGATTTATTTATATTTCATTTATTGTACCAATAAATTTCTACACTAAACTTGAAAACCAAAATTATGTAGCAGCAGTGAAAATAAAAATCTATATGACTTTCCTAGGCATATCAAGAACAGAAAATATTTATATAATTAAAATTGCAACACTAGTCATATAGCACTGAAGTCATGCATGACATCTGTCAATAGTATCAGTGGTTTCCCATCAAAATGTTATTGTTACTTGAATGAAAAATAAATGCTTATTATAAATTTTTCTCTATTCATGTATAGTTTTTATATCAGTAATGTATTCAATTATACAATAGATAGATGTTTCATGCTCCATGTGCACAAAACAATATGTTTTGTATTTGTATAAATTAATTTATGGTAAATTAATGCATTAATTAAATGTATTATATCTTATGGTTCACCATGGGTCAAAATTCTTTCCTCAATAAGATTATTTGTATACTTTGTACTACAAAAGAAATAAATAAATGAATGCATTGCACGAAAATGCAAACATATTTCTACAATGTTGTTTACAACTTGCAAACGTTACGCAAGTCATTAGCTCTAGACACCTTTCAAACTTATTTCACCTTCAACTTTATTTTTCTTATATTAATCTAAAATCTATGACCTATGTAGAAACTGTTAGTTATGCTTCTACCAAACCCAAACCTAACCAAATATAATTTATTTCAAAGAATTAAAGGAAACCACAATCACCAAAATATTTAATGTAAAATGTTCTTAGATCTTAACTCTTTCATGGGGCGTAAGGTAATTAGGGGCCAGGACGGAGATCACGTTCAGCTCCAAAGTATGTTAATATGGCTTTTGCAGACTTTTATCATCATAAAAAATGAATTTACAATTATACTAGCACATAGAAGGGAAATTAAAATCATAATTTTATTTGTTACAAGAGAATCATCTGTATCTAATTAATATCAGGCACTTTTCAATATTGTTTTAACATTACTTTCTTAAGTAATTTATGACTAAAATAAAAAAAAAAACTTGTAAATATCAATGTTGCCAACTTGTAATCCTATGGATAACAAACCTCAATCATTTGATACATAGACCCTTACCCCATTCTTTTAACTTTTCTAGCTTAAAATTTAAATGTTTAAAAAGATAGCAAAATGCAAGGTTGTATTTGTTTATAAATATAGATTTATTAGTGAAGAAACTTTATCTAAATTATACACATCAACTTCTTGGGAATTCCATAGTCTTCATTAACTATAGTATAAGCAGTCTTTCCAATTAACAGGAATCAACATTCATTCCTAAAACATTTGAAAATTAATTTTTAAAAAATCATTAGGATGGAGAAAATTAGGCAAAATATTTAAACACTTTAGTCAGTGTGTTGGATTTAGTCATAGAGGTAAAAAGACTAACACTACAAGTCACCCTGAGCTACGCCTATACACCAGAATTTTTAATCATGATACTAAGACATATTTGAAGTGAAGTGTATAATTTAAATATAAAGATTGATATGCACTTTGAAATGACACGTTATTCCACCAACAGGTATTAAAAATGGCACACAACTTAGTGAAACATATAAAACTGTTAAGTTGTGACATTCAAAGCAAAATATTCAGTTCCTATTTTAAGTTTCTTTATCAAATTTATCATTATATAAGTGATTAAATAAATTTCTAGAACATTTGCAAGACTTCTTTCCCAAAAAAATCCTGGCATATAAAGGCAAAAACTATTTGATTAATATAATTTGTTGTTATAGTTCATAAATCATATAAAAAAAATAATTAAAATCATGAATCAATTTGATAACAAAGCAGACTGGAAAAGACAAGAGCACAGATTCAAAATTTGTTCGAGGGTATTCATGGAATTAAAAAATATTCAATCACATGAACTTTAACCACAATAATAAATGAAAATGAATACATAACAAGCAGCTTAGATCAGAATGACAAGTAAAAGTCAATTAAGATTGGTAAACATGACACAAGGTATGACTTCCATCTTGAAGTCATTGAACAAAATTAAATTCTGTCAAATTATGAAATTATTTTAAAATAAACTGCACTATATCTGAAATTAAATGCAGGCTATCCTGGAAAGACATAAACCTAGCACCCTGCTAAAAGATCAATTGTTAAAAAGTAAAATCCCACTTCTGAGAACTTTTTATTTTAACAAGAATAATTTTGTCTCATTATAGTATGTAATATGAGAGCCCTAATACTTTTGAGTAAACATCTTATAATTATTTTACTCTCTCTTTAACTTATCAAAAAGGCAGTCATAAAGATTTAAAATGAAGATCTCAGTAAGACACACGGGAAAGAGGGGGGGGGGGGAGAGAGAAAAAAAAATTATTTAAAAAAAAAAAAATACAATCAAAATGTTCACTACCTACTCTATTAATTATAGGTAGTTCGCTGCTAAGTGATTCATTAAAAATCAGTGAAAAAACACATCAATTTAGCAATTAATCAGAAGAGAGTTTTTGTTAAAAATATGACACCAACTTGGAGGACAGATCTCTTTCCTACAATTATTAACATTGAGACATTCTTACATGAAAATAGTACTTTAAAATAGAAGAATGGCATCAAGGGACCTGGATACTGCACTGAGCATGCTCTTTGTTCAATCTTTGTGAAGTGCACATAGTGGGCTTATTTTCACTCTCAAGGAATGAAATGTAATTCTGGCAAAATCTATGAACCCATTTCAAGGTTATAAACATTAAAACTTAAAAGTTTTCAACATAAGCTAAAGAATAATCTGCATTGGCAGCAAATTGCCATGCTTTTTCTCCCCTGGAAAGGTAAACAGACTTATATTTTATAGATCTTTATAAGGAAAACAGATGAAAAGTTAAAATTTAAGAAATGAGAAAAATTGGATTTTTTAATACTTGAACCTGCTGAGCTATTTTTTGTGGTAGAGTGTATCCACAGAAAATAAAATGATATTCCTCTTTTTATGACTTAAAAGAGAAAATATTCTGTTGTATTTTCTACATGCCAACGCAAATGAATCGCAATTATTAATGGGGAAATTACTGTTCAGTACTCCTGGAAACATATCAACCAGAGGGTCAAAATAACAGTCAAACCATTGGTACAAATGATAGCGCATAAGGGGACGAAAAAAATTCAGTCATTTGGTGTTGCATTGTAAGGAAGATATTGATATATAGTCATAAAATTATCACAATATTGGGAAAAAAAAGGAACTATTTTTTTATCAACACACTACTTCCATGCACTTGCAAACACACATGCAAATTAACTGTTAAAAAATGCTTTTATCATAAGAGGCTTAAAAATATCATTTGCCTCGGTGACAGTTAAACAGCCAGGTCACATTTTGGGTTACCTCCTATCCTTCTTGCAACCTTCAAAACTTCAAAAACTGAACTAAATGCTTGAAACCATATTCTTAGCTCCTATGACCTGTTGAAAAAAAATGAGGAAGAAATCCATTATTGTCTTGCAGTGTTAATTGTAGTTGCAATTGCACAAAGGCTCCATCATGGCATAGAAGTGATAAGAGGGTTTAACTGCATGCAATAATGTTTTTAATTAGATTCATGCCACACAATCAATTTGTGTACAAAAAAGGAGTAATACACCTGATAAGATCTATATGGAGAATAAATTAATTAAAAGATTTGGCATATCCACAATTTTAATTATCTTTTGAGTCTTTTCCTATATGATTTTTATATTGTAACTTCCACCCACTTTATTTCCATTCTAATGATTATCTTTTGACTTGTGCCCATTCTCTTTCTTTTCTTTCCTTTTTAAAAATGTGTACAGGTATAATAAGTATATTACGTGAAATTTACTTTAATTAATGGTACTGGTTGTACTGATGGATCACCCTAAATGTTGAATTTGTATTTTGTCGTATGAAAACTTAACCTTATATGCACTGTTTTATTTACACAAATTAATCACTGGATTTAACTCTTTTACTCCTGATCAACGCTCCCATTGTCGATTTGAAATGAAGATTTTGGAGTATATAATGTATAACATCCTGTTTATTTCGGTTATTTCCTTAGCTATTGGTTTTTAATTATTTTAAATCAATTCTAGAATGATTTTCCTTTGGATAAACACCGGTTTTTCTGTGTTGAAATGAGTTTTACATAGAACGAAGTGTCTGAAGCGGCGGTCGTTTTGATTGTCCATTTTATTTTTGTTTACGAACATGAAATCTTGACTTGACCCATCAGGTGATCGATCTAATAAAGGTTGAAAATATTACTCGATGATTTTATGATTTCAAATGCAGAGGCTGATTCTGTTAAATCGTATGATTATAATCCTAGTACTCGTATTAGTAGTACTAGTGACGAAATAAATTTGTAATTCATCAGCCGATAAACAACCAGCCCCGCCCCCAGCTAAAGTGCACATCCATATAAATTGTTTTTAGGCTTACCATAAATAGCTAAACCCAGATGAAAAGATATGACAAATTTATGGTAAATTTTCCATTTACCATAATAAATGTTAGTACATACAAGAATACAGTGCAAATATTTTATAATAGCAACAAATTGTTTCCAGTGGAACTAGTTACATTTTTTTCACAAATTTTGAGCGTGACAGGGACAATGGTGTTTAATTTTTTCTTTTTTTCAAGTTGATCTTTATTATTTGTGATGCACATTTGGATATAGTTCAGAAAAAAAACCTATTTTTGTTAAACTTTGGATTATATATTTCTCTTCGTGTGACTTGGAATGAGTGTTTTGTAAACGGTAAGTTTTTACATTTTTATTTTCCTTAAATCATAATCACATTTATATATTAAAATTGAAACCCAGGTCTGGTTTGTCTGTAAAGGGCATACATTCCTCTTTAATTCCATACCAAACCTAACATTTTCTGATGAAAAATAAAAAAGTTGTGATAGCATAGTAGTGCCTAACAAATATGCAAAATTTGATAATTCGACAGAACGTGGAAAATAATTCCTAGGTTTGCCCAAACTATGTCCTTAAGTGAAACAGATAAAAGTTCTGTCATCTTTTATTTACCTTTTAATTTTCTCCACAACACTTCTGATGTCAATGCCCCGAAACTGTGATGAAGGGGATGATGGAGATACAAGCAACCGTGACATAATCCCAGAAACAAAGTCGTCAGTGAGGCCGGGGCATGACCTCTCAGCCAGGTCAAAGGCATTCTGCAACTCTCTAACAACCTCCAGCAAAGGCAGAGCGCGTCCAATTCTTCGAAATTCATTGTTGTATTCTTCTTGCAACTAATACAATAGACGATTTAAATAAATAATTAATAATTCAACATCCTAAATTTAAAGTAAATTTTTACAATGAAATAGTGCAAAATATATGAACTATGTAAATTTAAAAAAATGATTTTCTACAGTTATAAAATGGGTAACATTGCTAGTAGTGATAGTTTATTATAAAGATCAAAATGATAAAGTTTATACTATCGGCTTGACAATGATATTGGTCGAAGGTGTGTTAAAAAATAAGAAAGAGAATAAAGCCAAAGACAGAATAAATTATTTTTAGAAAAAGTAAAAACGTGTTCTGTCTTTGCTTAGCAATTTTCATATTGATTATCCTTTTTTAAAATATAATTTACCGCTAATTGAATTCAAAAGCGTTAATTTGAAACCAGATTATTGTTTTATTTCTTTAGTATTACCTGGGATAGAATAGGCTGCACAGCAGTAGTAAGGCTTGCAGACACTTGAGGTCTTTCTGGAGCTCGGTTTTTAACAGGTTTGGCAGCCTGCAAACAGAGTGAATATAAGATTTAAAACATGCTGAAACATTTGTGTGGACTAAACATTTATCTTTTTTGTGTCAGTGTGTTACTTGAGCTCAGTTGGTTACTTACCCCTACAATATTTCTATAATTTTATAATCATTAATGGCAATGTAAATAAATCACATTGAAAAAGACTGAATAAAGTACATGCCTTTTTTTTCAGCAATCACAATTCAAATCTGTAATGCAACACACACTTGGAGCAATGTTTTTCACTTTTTATAAAATAAATAAAATACCCATGTTCTTTAACTAAATATTATAAAATGAGAAGAGGTTAACCTCTTCAGAATTTGAAACTGTTTAGAATTATTTATTTAAATATAAGTAGTTTACATGATAGTTTAGCCTAAAAATCTAAAGCTTGTTTATGGCCTTTTAAAAAGATATATTTTAGAATGAAATGCAAATAAATATGTATAATCTATATATTTATAAATGCATTGTTTCATCAAGGTATTCTGGTAGCTAGGAAAGTCTGTAGCAAACATCTATGAGATCATGTTAGACTAGCTTATTTGAGAAGGATTTCATTTGCTATCTTTATTTAACACACAAATTTAGGAGTAATACAGCCATAATTTCAAGATTAGGAGGGTAAATTATATTTAGCATTCATGAAATATTGAAGCATAGTAGATTTATTAATTGACAAGTAAACAACATTAGTCTTTTAACTTTCTTAAATCTCTAGCTAGACCTCTGTTATGGTGCACTAGTGGACTGGACCGTCCCGATAGCCAGCCAGGAGAAACAGCTCGCATGCGCAGAGACACTGTTGAGAGAGAGTGTGTTTAAGAACTGTGTTCCGGACGCAAGCAGAAAGTCAACATCTGATTGAGAACTTGTATTTATGTATATATATGTTTATGTTACTTGTTTGAAATAAAAACATTGAAAACATAACAAATGGTAGCCAGTATGTTATCGACCAGTATCAACGACACCGCATGATGGTCAGTATTAACTCATTACAAAACTCAGTACAACCGAGTTATAGATTGATACACATGAGTGACTTCACGTGACGGAGGAGGTAAACATACACAATGGGGGAGTCAAATCTGACCCAAAGTGACATCATCCAAAAGCTGATTCAGCAGAACGAGCTACTGTTGAAACTAGCAATAGGTCATACGGCTACTAATATGAAGTTTACAAATTTCAATAGTAACGAGGAAACATTCACAGACTACTACGCTAGATATGTGACCTTCGTGTTGGCAAATAATGTGCCAAAGGAAAGGCAGGCACAAATTTTTTTAACTAGCCAAATGCCAGAGCTGCATAAAATGTTGTCAACCCTCGTACAACAAAGAGAACCACCACAAAATTTAAATGATTTGAACATGGAAGAAATATATAGGATAATGATGAATCAGTTTGATCCTACCAAATTTGTTATCAGGGAAAGGTTCAAATTTTGGTCTGATTCAAGTAGAAAACCAGGGGAAACAATCAAAGAATTGGCGGCTAGGATAAGACAAGATGCAGCCACTTGTGAGTTTAGTAATATCAAAAATCCTCTAGATGAAGCTTTACGAACAAGATTCATGTGCTCTGTAAAGAACGAGGCTGTATTGAAAATTTTGTTTCGGATGAAGGACACGGAACTATCATTTAACAAGGCAGTAGAAATAGCTGTTGAAACAGAGGAGGCAGCGAAATGTGCCAAAGAAACAGTCCATGAAGAAACTCCTATCAATAAAATTCAGACAAAAAGAAATAAGCAACATCAGACAGCAAAGAAATTTTCTCCATCTCAAAGACAGGATTTCCCGATTGGAACTTGTGGCAGGTGTGGAGTAAGAGGCCATAAAGGAAATGTCTGCAAGTATCAAGACATGATCTGCCGCTTTTGCCACAAGAGAGGACATCTCGAAAGAGTTTGTCTAAATAAGAAAGAGAATGCTCCAAAACAGAAACCGATTCATCTAAAAAGAATAAGAAGGCAAAACCAAATAAAAACTATCCCGCCCCTTATTCAAGAACTCATTTTAGAAGGAAAGAGGTTTGCATTCGAAATTAATACTGGAGCCGGAGAAAATTTTATGTCTGAATCTGTTTGGCGAAAGCTGGGACAACCCACATTGAGCCCAGTATCTGTTAAGTATGAGTCAGCATCTGGTGACCTACTTAATGTTTTGATGTTTTGGGAGGAGTTGAGATACATGTCATTTGTAGTAGTGAAAAACCACAGCTTAAATTTGTTGGGCAGAACTGCAATAAAGAACCTCAGGATTTCAATAGACACACTGTTTCAAACAAAGATAAATCACATTGGTAATCAAAACTCATTGAGTCAAGCTTGTGAACTAATCTGTAAGGAATTACCGCAGCTGTTTGAACCAGGTCTTGGGCTATTGAAGGATTTTGAACTAGAAATTATGTTCAAGCCAAATGCATAACCCATTTATATGAAACCTAGAAATGTTCCATTTGCTGTAAAGGCAGAGCTAGCAGAGGCTTATGAAGCTGGAATATCCACAGGAGTCTGGCTACCAGTACAGTTCAATCAATAAGGCACTCCCGTAGTTCCAGTGAGAAAGAAGTCTATCTCAGGAAAAAATTAACAAATAAGGGTCTGTGGGGACTATGCAAAAACTGTAAATCAACAGAAACACCCAGGTATCAAATGCCATTACCAGAAGACCTCATGAGGAAGTTAGCCGGTGGACATTATTTCTCAAAAATAATCTGGCTGCTGTTTATAACCAGATCGAGCTGGCTAAAGAATCCCAAGAGAAATTGGCATTAAGCACACATAAAGGTGTATTGCTGCAAACACGGTTACCATTTGGTATTACCTCAGCACCTGCATATTTCCAAGAAATCATGGACAAACTTACACAAGATTTGCCTGGAGTAGCAGTGTACATGGACAACATTCTAGTGAGTGGAAAGGATGAGGAAGACCATGTAATGAACCTTTGCAGGTTATTACATAGGCTGAATGAAAATGGATTAAAGTGCAGGAAGGAAAAATGCAATTTTGCCCAGCAATCAATTGAATATTTAGGGCATAAATTATCAAACAATGGCATATCAAAAGGAGCCAAAGTAGATGCAGTTATATCCATGCCAGCACCCACAGATATTTCCAGTCTACGGGCAAGTGCAGTTTTACAACAAGTTCTTAACACAGAACAAGAAGAAGCTTTTAAGAAAGTCAAGCAATTACTTTCTTCTGATACAGTTCTAGCTCACTATGATGCAACTCTAGACATAGCCATAGTCTGTGACGCCTCTAATGTTGGCATAGGAAGTGTTCTGTTCCACAGTATTCCTGATGGCAGTGAACGCCCTATTGCTAACATTTCAAAAACTCTCACAGCAACACAATGCAAATATAGTCAGATTCAGAAGGAAGCACTCTCAATTATTTTTGCACTATCAAAGTTCCATCAATATTGTATGGAAGAAAGTTTGTTTTAGTCACAGACCATAAACCACTGATAAATATATTTGGTTCAGGAAAAGGAACAGCAGCACTGGCAGCAAATCGTTTAGCCAGATGGGCTCTTACCTTGAGTCAATACGACTATATCATTGAATCCCGTAGTCAACTGAACATCGCAATGCGGATGCTCTTAGTTGTCTACCCTCGGGGCCTGATGACATATTTGATGGTGAGGAAAGTGAAGCAGACATGAATTCTGTTTGTATGATCAAACAAATCAGTTTACAGATCAGACCCAGGAGTCCTAGCTAAAGAGTCACTTAAAGATTCTAATGTGTCTTCAGTTATGAGATATTGTCAAGAGGGCTGGCCGTCCTCTAAAAACAAAGCGCACTTGAACAAGGATGCAGCTAATATTGCAGCTTTTAAAAATATTCAAGACTCACTCACCGTGAAATTGTGGTACCAAAAATACTTCAAGCTCAAGTTCTCCAAATCCTGCATACAGGACATTTTAGAATCAAGCCGATGAAACAGTTAGCAAGATCATCTGTTTATTGGCCTGGACTTGATGCTCAAATCATGGAAATAGGTCGAACATGCCAGGCATGTGCAGAACATGCCAGAGACCCAAACAAAGCAAATATCCACCCATGGATGTTGCAAGAAAAACCATGGAGTCGAGTACACATCAACCATGCGGATCGCATTGTTCTTCGCAAACGCAAGTTTGACCACGCTAAAACACTTCTGAGAGAGTTGCATTGGCTGCCGGTCCGTGCTCGCATTGAGTACAAAATCGCAACATTGTGCTACCGCTGCTTACATGACCTGGCGCCGTCCTATCTGAAAGAGCTGCTGACACCTTATGTACCCACTAGACAACTCCGCTCATCCGATAGTGGCAAACTCTCGACACCACGTGTTCGCCTTGAGACTTACGGAAAGCGCACTTTCGCATTTGCTGGTCCAACAATTTGGAACGCCCTTCCTGTCGATCTCAGAAACAACCTGACATGGAGTCCTTTAAAACCGATTTAAAGACACATCTATTTCGCAAACACCTTCTGGGATGATTGTATACCATATCTTCCATTTAATGCATATTGGCTGTGTTGCTTAGGGTTGAAATGGGTAGAAAGACTTTGACTTGGTATGCTTGTAATTAGTTTTTGTAGTGTTGCGTTTGTTTTAAATGTGGTAAATTATATTACTTTGTACCGCGCTTCGAGCCTTTTGGGATGAAGCGTGTTTTTTTAAATAAACTTTATTATTATTTTTAACTTTAAGGGATCACATTGGTTGGTGATGATAGATACTTATTCAAAGTATCCGTGTATCCACAGGACAAAATCTACATCGACCAAAGCCACCATTGATCTTCTGGAGGAAGATTTTGCTCATTTCGGCTATCCACACACCATAGTCAGTGACAATGCTACTAGCTATATCTCGGAAGAATTTCAGCAGTGGTGTAAGGAGAGGGGTATCGTACATCTCACAGGCGCTCCCTATTTTCCAGCTACGAATGGAGCAGCAGAACGACTGATTCAAAGTTTCAAGAGTTCAATAAAGAAATCCTCTTTACCTCTAAAGGAATCTCTACAAGACTTTCTGCGTCAGTATTGTAGGACACCATTGGCAAGTGGATTATCACCTAGCCAACTGCTAAACAATCAGCAAATAAGAACACTTATTGATACTCTAGTTCCCTCACCTGCTCATCAAGCACAGGGACAAAATCTTAAAGAAATAGCCATCCCCAAAGGGACAAATAGAAGTCCTAGTCGATCATTTAGCCGGGGAGATCCATGTTAAGTCAGAGTATATGGAACAGCAACAGATTCTAAACCACGATGGGCTCCCGATACAATCATCCAAGTTATGGGTCCACGTCTTTTCAAGGTGAAGATTTATCCCAATGGTCCCACATGGAAGAGACATTTAGACCAACTTCGCCCCAGGTATGGTGCGGAAGAAGATTCAGAACCAAATTTGGATATAATGACAGGAAGTCTTTATCCAACAGCTCAGGCAGCCCTGAGTCATCAACCGTCTACACATCCAGCAATTCCAAGTCCACCTAAGAAGATTGACCCTCGTCAGCCAAGACCTTCAGACTATGTCATACCCAGGAGATCTCAAAGACAACATCGAGCACCATTGTTACTGGACTTGTAATTGTTCGGGGAGGTGTTATGGTGCACTAGCGGACTGGACCGCCCCCGATAGCCAGCCAGGTGAAACAGCGCGCATGCGCAGAGACACTGTTGAGAGTGTGTGTTTATGAACCGTGTTCCGGACGCAAGCAGAAAGTCAACACCTGATTGAGAACTTGTATTTATGTGTATATATATGTTTATGTTACTTGTTTGAAATAAAATCATTGAAAACATAACAGCCTCCAAAAAAAAAAAAATCTATATTTGTAGGTTAAGTATGGCTTAGTAAGATATATTTAGATAACAATCATAATTTCAAGGGTGTAGTATTTTAAAGAACATTCATTTAGTCCATGCAATGTTAGTAAAGATGTTATTTAGCAAGGAAATAAGTGCGCATACAAAAAATTATGCCAAATACATGACCTGTTATGAGTGCCTTGTTCAAAGTTGAAAGATACTTAACTTCTTTTGACTTTTAAAATGAAGGTGACTTAATAAAAAATTAATTACTATCACACACGTTTTTAAAATAGTTATTTCTAGATCAGCTATTTTAAAACCTTATTATGTCAAAAAGTATATATAAAATTACTAAAAACTGTTAATAATGCTTCTCAATTTATTAAATGCTTAAAAGGGTAATAAGATTTTTTAATGGTTCGCTACAAAAGTGTTCAAATGGAATACTACATAAGTTTTAAAATGGAATTAGTGATTGCTATATAAATATGCAATCTATGAAGCATGTAATTATCTACAGCTGTTGGCAGTTCTAGATAATTCCAGCACCAACACCCAGTATGTTTAATGATTTTGAGGTGTTACATAAATCTGAGCCAAGTCTAGCAGAACAACCAGCCAAACGTTTCTTCTTTAAATTTAAGTCTTGTAGAAGGAAGAGAACAAAAATAATTTAAAAAATAAAGATATATGAAAACAGAACAGAAAACCATAGAGCACTTGTAAAGTTTGAATAAATTATGTAATATGAGAACTGAGGCAGATCATATTGTGATTTAAGATAGCGTTAAGAGCAGTGGTGAGCCACTGAGATATAACATGAGAACTTGTGTGCTCTCATGTCAAGCATGGTTGTTCCACAAATGTTACTGTGTTTTAGAAGAAACATGCAGAGTAATATAATACACATGCATTGGAATGAAGAGAAAAACGACTGATGTTTCATTGTTGGTAAACTCACTACTGCAGGTGGTATGACCGGGTAAATGGACTCTTCACTTTTCTGTTGCTGTTTGTAAGAATATTGGGGGCTCTGCTGCTGGTGATTTTCATGCAGCCTTTCTCCACTACCCATGTGGACACCACCTGTCTTCAAGTTATTTAGGCTGACATAGTTTGGCAAATCATACTGAGATTTTGGCCTTTCATATAAGGGCTGTATGTAATCAGAGACAAAAACAGCTTGTCAAATGTTTAAAAATCTTTACTAAAGTTCTAATTAATGATTGCATGTTGTGTTGAGTTTCAAAATGGGGGAAAATAAATGAGATAAAATGATTATTTTGTGGGGAACCAAAAGAAAGAGTTATATGAGGTAACTATTGTGATTTAAAATGACTTTTTCAAATACTGTGAACCTAGGAAAATAAGAGATACATTTTTTGAAGATGTGTTCAAGCCTAAGTCTACGGCAGTAACTGTATACCCATATAAGCCCTTCCAATGGCATGCTTATGGTAAATATGGAAAGTACAAACTTACTTGAGGATGTTGAGCATATCTAGCATTAGGGTTTATTGGCTCAATGTTATCTGATCGACTGCGCACATGCTTAGGTGCCTGCAAAATGGATATTTTATAGAGACCAATCAGCCTAACAGTTCAAGTGCTGACATCTCCATAGCGCCTAATAAATAAGTGCTTTACAGTTTACCATGAAACTTTCTATGTGACAGATGTAGCATTTACATTTTGTTCAACTGGACAAACTTCTCAATTAAAATGCAGGGTACAAAGGCTTGTTAAACATATAATAAATGTACGAGTAAAGCAAAACTGTGCAGTTTCACAGAAGAAGCCTCTAAAAGTGTGATATAGATTTAGAAAATAACAGCAGTCTTCCAATATATTTAATGCATTTTACCCGAAACTCACTACTGCATTGGAAAATAAAACCCTAAGAAAAGTTTCTGATGTAGAGGGGAGTTGGATGCTTTTAGCCCTTTAACAGATGGTAGTCATAAGTGGTCAAGAATTAAACTTGGTTAGACCCTAAAAATTATTTCCTCCCCAAACTAGCTAAATAATCTTTATACAGAAATGGATGCTCTCCTTGTATGGGACAACTTCAATAGAAAATTAGGAAACTGATTCAAAAGAAAAAGTTTGTTTTTCTTTATTTGTGTTAAAATTAGAGCAAGGAAGAGAGGTAAAAGGGTAATGACTAAGCAACTTAAGAGTGCAACTACAGAGTGCTACTACTTGAGGATCTAACAAGTGCAACTGGGTGGTGGAGGGGTGGTTATTTAGTTCAACAAAAGGAAACAGTAATATAAAGGAAGTGAACAAAGACACTAATGTCAGTTTAGGAAATTGGCACAGAGTTGAAGAAATAAGTATTATTAAATCAAAAAATCAAAAATGAGTGGGGGGAAAAAAAAGGACCCCCCCTCCCATCCCATAGTTTGTTATTACATCATTTGCAATCATTACTTCAATCAAAAAAAAAAAAAAAAAAAGTATAGAAACCAAAAAGAAAAAAATAAAAAAAAAAAAAAAAAAAAAATAAAACAAAAAAACAAAAAAGGGTGGGGGGAAAAAAAAAGCCCCCCCCCCCCATCCCATAGTTTGTTAATACATAATTTTCAATCATTACTTCAATCAAAAAAAAAAAAAAAAAAAAGTATAGTAACCAAAATGGACTAATTGAGCCTGCAAACAAAGAAAAGAAATCAGTGGAATAAAAAAAGGCTGCTAACTTACAATATCATTATTGTTGTTGCCATGTCCTTCTGAGGTGCGAGTCCAGCCTGAGTCTGAGTTACTCTTTGTGTGTATGATTGCTGCAGGGCTTGTCTGGGCAGGATGTGCAGGCTGAGGCTGTGTAAATCCATGTGATGATGTTCATGGAAGAAAAGTTAAAAAAATTGATCAATGGTAAAAAACAATGAGTGGTAAAATTTATACTTCTTTAAAAACACATAAAGAGCTTTAAAGCCATGCTTTACTTTGGCTTAAGTTATTACTGAGACACCTCAAAGTTGGAATCATAATAGTTTAAAAGTCAGACCTTAATTTTTACATAGCAATAGCTGAATCAAAGAATTTTTATAATATTAAAATAAGCCTAAAACTTCAGGGGTGCTTTAATTTTAGAAAAGCATCTATGAGTGTACATTTAATTCAATTATAAAGTAACTACATGACATACATATTAAAACAATTAGTAAACTAAATAAATAAAGATAACTGATATGTTGATCATTAATATTATGAGTATACTAAAAACTGGTGATTATGGCTTTATTTATCAATTTTATCTAATTTTACCGAGGAGAGATAACCACAAGGACAATTTTAATTTTAAACATAGTTTTTAGAACAAGTATTTCAAAAAGATAACTGTTTAATCTTTTACATTGTCTCTATAAAATACACCAACAATTGTTCTATTTTATAGTTGTATTATCTGTCAACATTTAGGAAACTATTGAATTCAATATTTTTGTTTCAAAATACTATAAAGCAACTTAACCCTGGTATATGAGGTCCAACACTATTTTAATTGGAGGGAAACGAAAAACACCTAAACATATTAGCTTCAGTGTATAGTAGAGAATAAAATATTCAAAAGACTGAACCATATTTTAAAGTTATGTATTTTAATTATGTTAGTACGCTACATAGGTGCACTGTGACAGATTGAGGGAAATAAATCTGTTCAATGATAGGAGACTTACTATATAAATTGGTGAAAATCTGTTAAAACAAATTTTCCTTATCTTTCTAAAAATAGTATTAAGGACTAAGATCAGAAAGTGCTTCAGGGATGCTCAACCTAGAGGCACTAGCATCACTTACACGTAAATCACATCACACGCAAAACCACTTGAAAAAAGAATTCAAATGTATCTCATTATTATACCTTATTTGGAATATATAATTTATTTTTAAAGGAAATGTTTGTTAATAAACTTATTTTATAAAATAGAAATATAAGTCATCTTATTTTTTTTTTATTGTCACAATCTTTATTGTTTTAAATGTAACAATCGTTGGAAAGAATTCTTCATCATTTATCCCATCTGTATGCAATCATGTTTAGTATCTGAGCACCCACAGCTAAGTTCACAGCATATAAGATGATGAAGGTGCTCATAGTCAATATTATATAAATCTATAGACATATTGTTTAACTCAGCGTTCCCCAAACGGTGGTCCGTGGACCAGCATCGGTCCACAAGCCTTACGTTACCGGTTCAGAGAGCATGAATATTGATGTTTAAATAGAAAGAAAATGTAATGAATAAATGTGGCACCGGTCCCTGGTGCAGTTTCGAAAATTGTCCACCGGTCCGTGAAACTTAAAAGTTTGGGAAACGCTGGTTTAACTTATATGTTTAAAGACAAATAATCTGAAAATGCATCTATACCCACATGTTAAAGAAGCAGATTAATTAACAAGTGACCTTGTGAAAAGATATGTGTGCACTGAATCAAGATGTGTTGATACTAATAGTTAAATGCTAAAGTTTGTTATTACTTTTAATATTGATTTTAAAGTAAAAATGTTTTTTAAAAAAAAAGTGATCTTTCCTTTGGCAGGTCTTTTCTTTTAAATCAAGAAGACAGTTGCAAGTGATGGGTAAGTATAAAATATTTTCAACTAACCACCTATATCTACTATTACAATTTTATGTTTAAAAACAATCTGAGGATCCTTTCAGTTTTTTGAGGATACAAATACTGATTTTATGACTTCTACTTCCACCCAGCTGTCACAGGGAAATTCTTGGTACTCATAACAAGGCCAGGCATGGGTTAAAACAGGCTGGAAAACACGGCAGTCCGGGAAAGTAGCCGAGTACCATTATATTGTAACATACAAATTTGCATAGAGAAGCCATGTAGCATATAGAACTACAAAATAAAAGCATATGCTAATTCATAGCACTTATTGCAAAGCTACCACTATTTTTGTTTATGCTAAAAAAGATGAAAATAAAAATGGCATAATGGTTATGAAATGTTCATACACTAAAAGGTAACAAAGCCAAGGTGTGAGTAGGATCTTTAATTTGATTAAGAAACCCTTAATTTTCAGTAATTTTTAAGGGGCTCTTTCAAATTTGTATTGTATAATATAGAATGGTAAAGAGGGGAATGGTGACTAGCTGGATACATTGTGAAGCTAATAAATGGAACTGGCTCTTGTCAGCACTTTTGACTTACAGATGCTACAGCGGGTGCTATGTTGTTGGTCATATCCTGCATAATACCCCCTTGGCCTGCTGCCGGGCTAGGGGAAACTTCTGCATGCAGTTGTGAAGGAGTTACTACCAGAACAGCAGGGGCTATGGGGGCCTGCCGCTTTGGGACAGGGCTTTGTTGCTTTTTAGGACCATTCTAAAATAGAGTGGCATGTGTTTTATGTTTAAGAATGAAAGCAATTTATTGAAAGTGACATCATTTTCCTCCAGGCTTAGAATGCTACCTCATGATCTTAGCAGACGAGTGATCACTGATAAGTTTTGTTAAACCGGTGATGAAGACAAAACTTACAAAATTAAAACTGATCAAGCTATAAAATAGCAAGGTTTAATGAGGATAATTTATATTTAACATTTGAAATATATTTCAAGTGAAAAATTCATGCAAAAAATTGAAATAAACTTTTACTGTTTATGGATTCACAGAAGCTAGTTTTATTAAGATTTCAAACATGCATACATTTTAAGAAAATCTAAAAAAGAGAAGATTTTATGTTTCTATTGAAAATGAATTGTTTGATCAATAAATAATGAACAGTGTAAGTAAAAGTAACATTGAGCCTTAAAAAAAAAAAAAAAATCCAACCTGTTTGTACCATTTACAAAAGATTACATAAAAAAAAAAAGATATATTTAATTGAACAAGCTATAAATTATCCCATTGATTTTAGTGATGTAAAAATGTAAAGATGCTTTATCAACTTAAAGAGAATTATTTTAAACTAAAAAAGAGAAAATTTTATGTTTCTATTGAAAATGAATTGTTTGATCAAAAAAAAATGAACAGAGTAAATAAAAATAAAATTAAACCATAAAAAAAAAAAAAAAATCCAACCTGTTTGTACCATTTACAAAAGATTACATAAAAAAAAAAAGATATATTTAATTGAACAAGCTATCAATTATCCCATTGATTTTAGTGATGTAAAAATGTAAAGATGCTTTATCAACTTAAAGGGGATTATTTCTATACACTTGAGGCATATAATAGTCTCAACTTAGCAATAAACTAAACCAAAGCTTTTCCAGAATCTGATAAAGCTGCATCCACAAAAGACATAAAAACTCAGGTTACTTTTATTTTTGACAAACATAATAAATACTTGTATATATTAAAAAAAAAAATATGTAGGCTAACCTCAGAGTTCTGTAGCATATGTTTATGTTCTTTGATTGTCATAATCCACTGGTCTTTGAGGTCTTCCTCATCACTATTATTTTCAGAGCTATAATAAAAAACAAAATAGTTGTTTTTTTAAGTTGTGGTAAAACATTTTTTTAAATACATGAGCAGTTTTTAAATTAGTGAAATCTCAATTAATGGTTATTCAAATTTGTTTTTCAGCACAATTTGACAAAAACGAAGTGTTACAGTAGAAGCTTGCCTTGTTTGCATTGTGTTTAGGACATGTTTATGGTGCATCCTGTGCATGAACTCTGGGTGACCCCAAGTTTGGCGAAGTTGGGTCTGGGGGTGATCATAAATTGTCTCCCTTGACTACATGTAAACATAACCTATAGTTAAATTCTTTTGAACTTACAAGACATGATGAGGTACAGACACAACGAGTCGAGTGACAGACACATTGAGTCGCCCCTATCTGGAAAAGTCTCTATGAAGAACTATAAATAAGCCGATCGACATAGGGAAAGAGAGCTAGATAGAGACTGTGAGACAAAGAGAGAGACAGAGATTGCAATTATAATACAAGGCGAGGAGCAAGGCTAATATATCAAAAAAGAGATTTGTTTTGTTTTTATTTCCATCCATAATCATTAACATATATATATATATATGTTACCACTAGCCAATGGTGTCTTACGATACTGACACAGAAAGCCTTGTAGAGATTCCTTTAAAGGTAATGCATTTCCTTAGTGAACTCTTGAAACTTTTAATCAGTCGTTCGGCAGCTCCATTTGTAGTGGGATAAGAGGGAACGCCTGCGAGATGTACAATGCCACTTTCTTTACACCAGTGATGAAATTCTTCAGAGATGAAGCTAGTAGCATTATCACTTACTATGGTGTGTGGATAGCCACATCTTCCTCCAGAAGATCAACGTTGGCTTTGGTTGATGTGGATGTTGTCCGGTGGATACACAGCTATACGTCAGATCAGCTCCATCTGCCACTACCTCACAACGCAACAAAAACCCTAGTCTATGCTCTTGTTCTCTCTCCTCTAGACTATTGCAACGCTCATCTGTCACTTCTTAGAAAAATTACGAAAGGTTCAAAACTCAGCTGTTAGGCTAGCTCTAAAGGCATAAAAACATGATCACGTCACACCACTACTTCATTGACTTCCTGTGAAAGCACGGATTGACTACAAACTCTCTATTATCTGCCACAACTTTTTCTCGAAGTTCTTCCCTTCCAATCTAACTGAACTTCTCCCTGTCTATTCTTGATCTCGAAGCAATCGGAGTACCCCAGGGCTCGGTCCTAGGCCAGATGCTTTTCACTTTGTACTTTCAGCCACTGGGTGCAGTGATCAAGCAATTTGACATGCTGTATCACTGTTCGCGGACAATACACAACTTCATCAATCCGTGATCCCCTCTCAGTTCCCTCAACTTCTTAGTACGACACAGAAGACAGTGGAGTCAGTTAAGCACTGGATGACCATAAACAGGCTCAAATTGAATGATGAAAAGACTGAGCTGATCCCCATTGCCACTGCTCAGAAACAAAAATCTATAAAACACACAACATCACTTACTCTCTCAGGTATGCAGATTGAGTTTGCTCATACAGCGCGAGACCTGGGTGTCTATTTAGACAGAACACTTACTATGGAAAATCATATTAACATGCTTTGCAAGGCAATTTTCCTAGACCTGCGCAGGATTAGTCACACCAGACCTTTCTTAACGCTAGATGCATCAAAGAGGCTGATGTCTGCATTTGTGTTATCACGCATGGACTACTGCAATGCTCTCATCGTGGGTCTCCCAGCTACGCTCCTGGATAAAATTCAAAGAGCACAGAATAATGCGGTTCGCATTTTTCTTCGCAAATGCAAATTCGACCATGCTAAAACGCTTCTGAGGAAGCTGCACTGGCTGCCGATCCGCATAGAGTGCAAAATTGCAACTTTGTGCCACCGCTGCTTACATGACCTGGCGCCATCTTATCTCAAAGCACTCATGACGCCTTATGTACCCCCTAAGAGAGCTCCGCTCATCCGATAGTGGCAAAATATCGATACCGTGTGTTTGCCTTGAGACTTACGGAAAGCGCACTTGTCCGCAATATACCGACCATGAAGGCCTTCAAAACTGCACTCAAAACACATCTATTTAAACTCCACTATCCTGACTGAGTTCTGACCGATAAACGATGCTACTGGGTGCCGTCCATGGCTTGATATGTAAATAGTTCTGGAATGGGTGGAGTGAATATACATTTGTTTTATTTTATTTAATTAATGTATGTTAATTTTTAAGTTCATGATTATGTTTGTTAAATTGTAAGGTCAAGCTTGGTGAGCCCAGCCCTAGGCTGGGGTAAAGCGCTATATAAAACAACTAATAATAATAATAACTTTAAATAAGCATCTATCATCACCAACCAATGTGATCGCTTAAAGCAGGGGTCTCAAACTTGCGGATAATTTGCGCCCCAAAAGATGATATTTTGCGGCCGGCTACATGACAACAAAGTTTAATGTTAATGTGGTCCATGCGTTTTCCCTATCTCAATTCTATATCTTGACCCTCCGTGACGGTTTCAGTCAAATATCACCTGCTAGTCTAATTCTGATTTGTATTATATTTGGATAGATTTGGACGTTGATTATAATGGTGAAAAACGTTTTAAAGCCGGACTAAACGTTTTTATTTAATTGCATTTTATGAGACAAACATTGCCAAAAAGCAGTTTTGAAAAAAGTTTATAAAGTCAGTTAGTGGGTAATGCACAACCCCAAGTGTGTAAATCATAGCAATCTGACACAGTATCAAAGAATCCCTATTAAGATTGTTGGTAATGTGTACGAGTGAAGGAAATTCCGAGCCTGTGAGCTTGGTCCCTTTCAAAAGGGTTAGTCAAAAAGACCTTTGCTACGATAAAAAATCTTAATTCATTTTCCCTACAATAGCATCTTCCTTCGCATCAATAATTCATAAATATTGTCTGCTCCTGACTAATGTATGAACATGTTTTAGCATTTAAAGCCTTCATTGAGAGGGGTGGAGTGGTAGTTCCTGTACTAAGTGATCCCAAATGGCTCATGGACTTGGATTTTCTTGTTGACATTACAGAGGAACTGAATGTACTCAACAAGACGTTACAAGACCAGGGGTAGCTTGTCAGTGTTGCCTATGACAATGTCAGGACATTATGCACAAACTTGTGTTATGGTACTTAGAGAAACCTCTGCCATTTCCCAACGTGCAAAGTACTCATGGACTCGGGCACACCATTCAGTAGTAAGTATACTGATGCCATTGCAAAGCTCCAGGAAGAATTTGATCACGTTTTTTTTTACTTCAAAACACACAGAGCAAATTTTTGCTGACCCTTTTTCCTTTAAAAATGTGGAAGATGCCCCCCCCCCCTAAAAAAAACAAAAATTTAAACGGAGCTGATTGATCTTCAGTGCAATTCTAAGTTCAGGGAGGTGAATGGAAAAACAAAAAAGCATGGACAATTTTGCAAAGCTACAGGAAGAATTTGATCACGTTTTTTTTTACTTCAAAACACACAGAGCAAATTTTTGCTGACCCTTTTTCCTTTAAAAAAGTGGAAGATGCCCCCCCCCCCCCTAAAAAAAACAACAATTTAAACGGAGCTGATTGATCTTCAGTGCAATTCTAAGTTCAGGGAGGTGAATGGAAAAACAGACAAGCATGGACAATTTAAGAGAGCATTTCCTTCACCTTCCCTGAGATTTCCAGGTTGTTCAAGCGGATCATGTGCCATTTTTGGGAGTACATATCTGTGTGAAAAGCTCTTTTCCACTACGCACTTTAAAAGGTCAAAGTTCAGGGCCAAATGTACCGATGAGCATCTTCAAGTTATACTTAGGGTTACAGTTGCTTCCTCACTCAAGCCAAATGTTGCTCAGCTGTGTAAGAAGAAGCGCTGCCAGGTCTCTGTCAACCAGGAGTAGGAGGAAGAAAGTTTAACCCAGTTCTTGAGAACCCTTAATGTTTTTATGTGTTATTTCTAAATGTTGAGCACATTGTAATAGTTGTGCTTTATTGAATTTGTAATCGCTTTTCTGTTGAATACTTGATGCGGCCCAGTCGCATCAGACTCTACCTCCAGCGGCCCGTGGATGATTTGAGTTTGAGACCCCTGCATTAAAGTTAATGGCATGGTTGATATGCACTCTACTCCATGGTTTTTCTGGCAGCATCCATGGGTGGATACTTGCTTTTTAGGGTCTCTGGCGTGTTCTGCACATGCCTGGCATGTTCGACCCATCTTCATGATTTGAGCACCAAGCCCTGGCCAGTAACAGATGATCTGGCTAACTGTTTCATCCGCTTGATTCCAAAATGTCCTGTAGGCAGCATTTGGAGAACCTGAGTTTTGCAGTATTTTAGGTACCACAATTCTTGAACCATAAAACAGACAATTCGACTCCACTTAGAGTGAGTCTTGTATATTTTTAAAAGCTGCTATAAAAGCTGCCATAAAAGCTGCTATATTTGCTGCATCATTGTCCAAAAGCGCTTTGCTTGTAGAGGACAGCCAGCCCTCTTGACAATACTTCATTACTGAAGAAGCAGTAGAATCTTTAAGTAACTCTTGGGCCTGTCGGTCTGATCTGTAAACTGATTTGTTTGATCATACAAACAGAATCCATGTCTGCTTCACTTTTTTTAACATCGAAAATGTCAACAGGCCCTGCAGGGTAGACGACAAAGAGCATCCGCATTGCCATGTTCAGTTGACTTATGGAATTCAATGATATAGTCATATTGACTCAAGGTAAAAGCTCACCTGGCTAAACAATTTTCTGCCATTGCTGGTGTTCCTTTTCTTTTACCAAATATGCTTATAAGTCGGTAACCAAAACAAATTTTCTTCAATACAGATATTGAGGGAACTTTGAAAGTGCAAAAATAATTGACAGTGCTTCCTTCTGAATCTGGCTATATTTGCGTTGTGGCGCTGTGAGAGTTTTTGAAATTTTAGACAGTATCAGAAGAGAGCAATTGCTTGACTTTCCTTAAAGCTTCTTCTTGTTCTGTTTTCTAGTGCCATGACACGTTCTTTTTAGTTAAATAATACAGTGGCTCAGTTCAGTTGATAGGTCTGGTAAGAATTTGTTTTAAAACTGCACTTGACCTAGAAATGACCATAGACTGGAAATATATTTGGGTGCCGGCATGGATATAACTGTATTTACTTTGCTCCTTTTGATTTACCATTACTCAATAATTTATGCCCTAAATATTCAATTGATTGTTGGGCAAAAATGCATTTTCCATCCTGCACATTAATCCATTTTCATTCAATCTGGATAATAACTTACGAAGATTGCTTACATGTTCTTCCTCATTCTTTTCACTCACTAGAATGTCACTCATGTACACTGCTACTCCGGGGAAATATGATGTTGCTGAGGTAATACCAAATGGTAAACCTTTTTGCAGCATTACACCTTTGTGTGCTTAAGGCCAATTTCTCTTGAGTTTCCTTTGCCAGCTTGATCTGATTACAGGCATCAGCTAGTTAAATTTTTGAGAAATAATGTCCACCAGCCAACGTTCTCATAAGGTCTTTCAGTAATGGCATAGGGTACTAGATGTTTCTAATTGTGGATTTACAGTTTTTGCATAGTCACCACAGATCCTAATTTTTGACTTTTTACCTGAGATAGACTTCTTTCTTACTGGAACTATGGGAGTGTCCCATTGATTGAACTGTACTGGTTTCCAGACTACTGAGGATATTCCAGCTTCATAAGCTTCCACTAGCTCTGCCTTAATTGTGAAAGGAACCTTTCTAGGTTTCATATAAATTGGCTGTGAATTTGGCTTGACTTAGTCTCTAACTCAAAAGTCTTTCAATAGTCCAAGACCTGGCTCAAACAGTTGAGGGAATTCATTGCAGATTTGCTCACAAGATTTATTCAATGAGTTTTGATTGCTGATATGATTTACTTGTGTTTGAAAAAGGCTGTCTATTTAAATATTGAGGTTTTTATGGCAGTTCGCCCTAACAAATATTATTTGTGATCTTTCACTACCACAAATGACAGTTTAGAAATGATTCCCTTGTATCAGTGTTTATTTCTACACTTCCTACACATTAAGTTGGTCACCTGAAGCTGATTCATACTTAATGGATACTGGACTCAGTGTTGGCTGTCCAAGCATTCGTCATACAGACCTGACATAAAATTTTCTCCAGCTCCTGTGTCAATTTCAAATGTACATTTCTTTCCTTCCAAAAAAAGTTCCTGAATAATTGGTGGGACTGTTTTGATCTGTTTTTGTCTTTTTATTCTTTTAAGGTAACTAGGTTTTTGTCTTGGAGTATGTTCTTTCTTACTTAAACTTAAACATACTCTTTCCAGATGTCCTTTCTTGTGGCAACAGCTGCATATCATGTCTCTATATTTGCAGACATTTCCTTTATGTCCTTTTCCTCCACAACTGCCACAAGTTCCAACAGGAAAATCATGCCCTTGAGATTTAGAAAATTGTTCTGCTGCCTGATGTTGTTTAATATTTCTTTTGGTATGAAGTTTATTAACAGGAATTTCTTGGTGGACAGATGCACACTGAGCTATCTCTTCTGTTTCCACTGCTTTATTAAAGGTCAATTCTGTGTCCTTCATTCTAAAAAATATCTACAATACTGCTTCATTCTTTATTGAGCACAAAATCTGGTCCATAGTGCTTCATCCAATGGGTTTCTTACTGTACCAAAATTACATGTTGCTGCCTCTTGTCTAATTCGTGCTGAAAATTCTTAAACTGTCTCCCCTGGCTTTCTACCAGGGGTGGACTGGGGAGTTCAAGCGGCCCGGGAAAAAAACAAAAAGCGGCCCTATCTTCATGACTTTTATTTTTATTATTATATCACCGGTCCTAGCGGCCCATTGGGAATCTTCCCGGTGTCCCGGCGGCCCAGTCCACCCCTGCTTTCTACTGGAATCCGACCACAACTTAAATCTTTCTCTGATAACAAATTTTGCTGGATCAAACTGGTCTATCATTAACAAATAAATTTCTTCCATTGTTAATTGATTTAAGTCTTGTGGTGTGTCTCTTTGCTTTACAAGTGTTGACAACATTTTGGAGTTCCAGTGTTTGGTTGGACAGGAAAATTTGTGCTGGTTTTTCTTTTGGCATATTGTTTGCCAAAACAAAAGTTATATACCTAGCATAATAGACAGTCAAGGTTTCTTCATTATTATTGAAACTCGCAAATTTCATCTGAATAGACATATTCCTTGTTGCTGACTTCAACAGTACTTCATTTTGCTGTATCAACTTTTGGATTATTTCCCTATGGGTCAGAGTTGACTCAGCCATTATTTGTACATACCTTCAGTCTTCAGTAACTTGAAATCCGTGTACCAGTCTAATTCTAGTCGATTGATTTCTTCACGAAGTACTTACTGCATACTATACTGGATTGTACTGGTCACCATTTGTTATATTTTTAATTTTTTTATTTCCAACAATAAAATTAACATAAATATATATAATACAAGTTCTCAATAATATCGACTCTATGCTTGTCTTCGGAACACACTGACCATGCACACACTCTTTACAGGTCCTGCGCATGCACTCCGTTTGACCGGGTTGGCTATCCGGATGGTATAGTCCACTGTTACAAGATTAAATTCTCTACACATTATAGCGGTACGTAACAATAAGTAATAATTTTAACCAAATATTTTTCACATTGTTAATAGAGGACTTATCAGCCAAACTACGGGTAGTTAGTATACCAAAAGATCAAGCTTTTGATCCAATTTCAGCTCTTTATTATCAGCAGAGCCTGGAGAAACTTTGCCACAGAGTTGTTAAAATCAACAAACTATCAAATAAACGGTCACCCAAGTCTTAGTGTTTTTGAAAAATGACTTAGTCCTCTATCTCCTTACTTGTCATGAGATTCATCATCATCATTATCCCAATCCAGCAGTCATCTGGGTATGTGCCTTGTGGTGCTGGCCATGAATTTAAAATTGTTAAAATTGAAGGCTAAGAAATAACTTTATGGTTGCAAACAGTACTTGATGCGCCTTGTCATATTTAATAAATCAAAAACACCTAAAATATAACTGATTTTCCTACTTACCCATCACTATCACTGTCACTGTCTGGTCCTTTCTCAGACTTCCACCTTTTATACCGATCTATCAACTCTGTTAAGTAAGCTGTCTTCTTAGCTCGTCTAATAAATGGATGCTTTAGTAACTCCTTAGCTGGAGGACGCTATAGGAACATGGAGAAACACACCTGAGTGACTTGTTCATATACGTTAGGTTCAAAATGAAAAATCACTTGAGAGATTTGGTTGTATAACTTAGGTTCTAATTGATAAACACACTTGAGAGATTTGGGTGCATAAGTTAAATTCAAAAATTAAAAAAAAAAGAAAAAAAATAAAAATAAAATTGAAAAAAAAGAATCAACCAAAAGCATTAAAAAAAAAAAAAAAAAAAATGCATGATTTACCCCCAATCTATTATAGTAAACCAAAATGTGATGTCACTAGTTGACAAATCGAATGATATATCTAAGGTTTGAGATAAAAATCATTGTCAAACTCCATGGCACAGACCTAATTATAATTATGTAAGTTTATTTTAATAAACTTTCTGTACTTACATTGTTGGGGTCTTTGTTCAAGCACAGCTCAACAAACTCTTTGAAAAGTTTAGAATAGTTGCCAGTGAGTTGTGGAGGATTGTTTTTAGGGATCAAGAAAAGTACTCTCATGGGATGGAGTTCTGAATTTGGAGGTTCTCCCTTGGCTAATTCAATGGCAGTTATACCAAGACTCCAAATGTCTGCCTAGATTGGAGTTAAATAAATACAGATTATATTTTTTTAAACACCAGATCATAACTTGACTTAAGAGGATCTAACTTAAACTGCATGATTATGCTTATGGAAGAATTAAAAAAATAAAAATACAAATTAATACCAATCTCATTGAAATTACGGGTAACTTGTTATCTGAAGCAACTCTATAGAATAATCAGCACACATTTTATTAACTAAAACCTGTTTTATTCAGGTCTAATGTGTGTTTTAGATGAAAGATTTGAATAGAACAGTTTAGAAAATACCTTTGTGTCATAGGCTGACTGTTTTATAACTTCAGGGGCCATCCAAAAAGGAGTACCAACAAAAGTCTGTTTTTTATTTGTTGTGCTAGTAAGTTGACCTGCAACACCAAAATCTGCCAATTTGACATCACCCTGCTCTGACAATAAGACATTAGCAGCTGGAAAGTGAAACAAATAGAAAATTTGTTAATTATCAAAAAAATAATGAAAGCATGAAAGAATTTAATTATGCATTGCGAAAAACTAAATTCATAAAACACTTTGTCATCTTAATTTTTTTTTTTTTTTAACTTGAAGAAAAAAAAAATATAATAGCCAGTGTACCTAGCTTTCCTCGGGTTTGTATGCATAAAACAAATTCAAAACCTTATCAGCGTGCACATAAATTTAGGGCCATATCAGATAAACTAAGCTAAATTACAAATCAAAATGAAAAATTGTCTCCTATGAAATGAAAGAATTATAATAAAACTCTTGTAAACATTGGATTAGGGGCCTACTCCTTTTCAGGCAATTTTGAAGCTGGGCACATCCAAAAAATATTAAAGAAAAATACAAATTTTAAAAGATGTCTCATCTCTTTAAAAAAAACAATTCACCAAGGCCAAGGCTATAGCGATTTATCAATCAAAATGAAATGTGATACTTGCAAGGGCCCATTCCAAAAGGGGCCATTTTAGATATCCCTAAGAAAGAGGCACTATAAGATAGATATTTAATTAAATTTTTCTAATTTATCCTATTTAAATTGAAATTAATTTGCAAAGATGTTGCTGTTTTACAGCAGTGAGTATTATAGGTTGGATAGTGCACAAACTTTATTTTTAAAACTGCCGTTTAAAATCAGCTGAAAAAAGTCAAAGACATTGTGTTTTATTTAAAATAAAATTAGGGTCCCAATGCACAAAAAGATGTTGACATTATTTGTTTGGAATCCATCGATATTTAAAAGGGATTAAGAAAGGTATGTTTACTAAGCCTAGATTTATGTAGAAGCTTGCAATTTAACCCAAGACTCCATGTATAGCTATGGCTATTATATAGAAAATACATTGTTAAACCTCAAACACTGATTTGGAAAATCAAAAATACCCTTAAATCTAATTCAAACAATTTTGAGGAAAATTAGAGACTTACTTACAGAAACATAAGAAACAGAAAAAACACATTTATATAATACTAGCGAGTACCCGGCATGCGTTGCAATGCCACTCAAAGAAAGAAAGTGTTTGCATGTTAATTATTTTCTTCAAGTGCTTTTAAATACTCAAAGTTTTTCTTGTTTTTCCATCTGGTATATACACGAATAAATCAGAAGATTTTCCGACGCGAGAGCAGGCCACATACATCTGTCCATGGCCGAAGCATGGGTTTTCCAAATTTAGTCCGCAAACTTGTAGCGATTGTCCCTGTGCTTTGTAGATAGTCATTGTAGACGCGTGTCGCATCGGAAACTGTAGGCGTTTGAATTCAAATGGCATATCTGTTGGAATCATTGGGGTGAATGGCAAAAGTACATCACCTAGTTTAAATTTTCCATTTAAAATAGTAACTTCAATGGAACCAATTTCGGAAGATTCATTTGAGTATTCCGAGAGGTCATTCCCAACTCATGAATCATCAATCGATATGAATAGTATTTCATGGCACTGACTTTCTTATTCGAATTTCTCAATTTGATGTCAAAATGATATCCATCTTCTCCTTGCCAAAATAAAATAGGATATTGCAATCAAACGTATGAGCGATGAGTTGCTGAGACTCGCTGAACATCCCCACTTCTGCGATGAAGAATTATATCACGTGAGTTAAATTCTTTGCCAACTGTAATGATCGCCACTTCATCAATTGTTGGTGCATTGTATTGTCTTTCATGTTGGCCGACAGGTGTTTAGTCTGCTCTAACTACCGGTATGACTTTGTATTCATCGGTCGGCATCTTTTCAAGTGCAATTCTATACATTTAAATTTATTCGTTATGTTGCAAAAATAACGTTTGCATTGCAGCGACGATTTCTCGTTTAGTGCCCGTTTGGATATGACAACGTTGATCGATTTATTCATCAGTATTCCCCATGAAATCATTTGAAGAAATTTGTGATCTGTGTTTGGCATTGGCATTAGAGATCCAACAAGATGGTAAATTTGGCCTTGCACTTTACTTAAAATGTTGGCATGTAATTCTCGCGCACGATATTTGTTGCACCCAACGATGTCATTTGGAAACATGAATTGCACTTGCGTATGTTTGCCAAGAAATGTTTCGATTGGCTTGTTTCACCTGATTCCAACGTTGATAATGGTTCCGATGGTGAATGTAATTCTGGCAATTTCATTTTCCCATCCGCGCAGGAAATTCCTGGTGTTTCGTTTTTAAATTTGAGGGCGCTGCAATACACGCATAATTGATCTATTTTTTCCAATAACCACACTTGGATTAAGACTGTAATCATAATTAGCATCGTAATTGAATGTACTAAGATTTAATTCAGCGTGCAGTGTTCGTCTGGATCGAGCAGTGCGTACTCTATCGAAATCCAGTCTTGTTTCTCGCTGCTCGAATGATTCAGACAAACGGGTTTCAGCATTGCTTACTCGGCCGGTTTTGATTCTTGGTTTCTGTTGCTCGACTGTTTCAGGTGAACGGTATTGAGCATTGCGTACTCAAGTAGATTCTAGTCTTGCTTTCCGTTGCTCAGCTGTTTCGAAAGATCGGGACTACTTTTCCTTTCGTGCTTGAGGTTTAGATTGACCCAAAACTTTTTGTTTGTGTGGCATAATTGATTTGACAGCGAAATTATTGCTTTGCGACATCTGTTATTAGCAATGGTATTTCACAATTAACACAACTTGTTAGGTCACAAACAAAAGGAAATATCGCTGTTTGTATTTGATTCAATTAATTTACAATATTCCTAACGTTCATAATTTTCACACGTTAGGATCTCCCATCTTTTTACATGAAAACCTCGCACAATATACGTTCATTGTTTGCAGGAGATTTCCTGTTGTATAGTTTCTCATTAATTTATAAATCGTAAATTCCAGCGGTAAAAAATGACCATAGTTCAATACCTACGTTTTCAAGTGTGTTATTTAATTACTTGAGAAACCATCGATTCATGTAAAATGTATTTACATAACACAAAACAACTCCGAAATTATAAGACTCTATTCAAGAAATACTCTTAGTAGAAAAAAAAACATGCGATTGCGATGTCATATCCGATTCTAAAATGCGTCACAAAATTCAAGCTTATTTATACAAATAACAAAACACTCTCTACACTAAAAATGTAAAAACGCGTTTTCTCTGCTTTACTACAAATGTGTAATTTGTTCAAGGTCGGTAGTGTTGATATCTCCGTTATAAATTATATTGATGAAGCTCATTTAAGAAAATAAATTGAATTTAGGGTCCCCAGCCCTAATTGGAATATTGTACAATGGATGTACTAAATTTGAAAAATTTGCCGGCGGATTCAGCTACTTCCACACATGCAATAGCTCTGTTTGAAATTATAGTTACAAAGCTCTTAGAAGAAAATATGAAATTAGGGTCACTGGCCCAAACGGAATATTGTAAAATGTTTTTTCTAATTTAGAAACATTTTCAGTAGTGCGCATTTCACTTGACCCATTTTTATCACAATGGAATGAATGGTATAGAAATGCATACGCTAATTATATAGATAATAGAAGTGTGGAAAACGAATTTAGGGCCCTCCGCCACAAATGGAATATTGTAGAATTGTTGTATTACTTCAGAAACCTACTTAATATGTCACACACTCAATTTAATATCACTATTTGTATTTGATTAAAAAGCTATCCATCCATGCATTAGCTCTGTTTGAAATTATAGTTGTATAGCTTATATAGAAAAAACGAACATAGGACCCCTGACTAAAAACGGAGTATTTTAAAATGGTTGTAATCATTTAAGAAACCTTTGCAGGCGTGCGCACAACATCTCTCTAAAATTTTATCGCATTCTAATAGTGTAGAAGAGCGCATACGGAAATTATTTTTATAAAGCTCCTAATATAAGGAAAAAAACACGAATTTGGGGCCAATTGCCAAAAAAACGGAATATTTTAGAAGGGTTATAATGGCTTAGAAAAATGCTCTGGCTTATGGACAACAACTCACCTCAGTTTTATCGCAAGCGCTTGAATGATGAAGGAGCGCATACGGTTTGAAATTATATTTATATAGCTCATTTTTTTAAGAAACAAACATAGGGCCCCTGGCTCAACACTGAATATTTTAAAATGGTTGTAGTAAGTTAAGAACCTTTGTGGGCAATAGAACAACATCTCACTAAATTTTTATCGCATTCTGAAAAATGGTATAGGAGTGCATAGAAAATTATTTTTTACAAAGCTCATATAAGAAAAAATATGAATTTGGGTCAACGGCCGAAAACGGAATATTTTAAAAGTGTTGTAATGAATGAGTAAAATGGGTATGTTTATAGATAACAACTCATCAAAGTTTTGTCGCAATCGCATGAATGGTGCAGGAGCGCATAAGTTTTGAAATTATATTTATAAAGCTCGTATGGAAAATTATGGAAAAACGAATATAAGGCCCCTGGCTCAAAACTGAATATTTTAAAACGGTTGTAATATATTAGAAACCTTTATGGACATGCTTGCAACATCTCATCAAAGTTTTATCGGAATCAGATAAATGGCGTAGGAGCGCATTTGAAAATTATTTTTTACAAAGCTCATATAAGAAAAAATACGAATTAAGGGCCAACGGCCGAAAACGGAATATTTTTAAAAGTGTTTAAATAACACAGTAAAATGCACTGGTGCATGGACAACAACTCACTTAGTTTTGTAGCAATCGCATGATTGGTGTAGGAGTGCATACGGTTTGAAAATATATTTATATAGCTCATATAAGGAAAAACGAATAAAAGGCCCCTGGCTCAAAACTGAATATTTTAAAACGGTTGTAATAAATTAGAAACCTTTATGGACATGCTCGCAACATCTCACCAAAGTTTTGTCGGAATCGGATAAATGGCGTAGGAGCGCATGTGGAAAATATTTTTTACAAAGCTCACAGAAGAAAAAAAACGAATTAAGGGCCAACGGCTAGGAACGGAACACTTTATAAGGTTTTTAATGACTCAATTAAATGGCCATTTATTTGGACAACAACTGACCAAAGTTTTGTCGCAATCGCATGAATGGTGTAGGAGCGCATACGAGACATACAGACATACAAACATTCATTTTTATATATATAGATTGAAACCTTAATTTAGAATTGTTCCCTTAAAATCAGTTGAAAAAATGCAAGAGATATAGCCTATGCAAAGAAAATGAAAATTAGTGTCCCTCGTGAATATTTTGTAATATAGATTTTCAAATGCATTTTTACAGAGTTAAATCTAGATTGTCAGCATTTCCTTCTGGGTAATGAAGTCTTTTAAATAAATATGTATTCCAAGTTTGATCAAGAAAAACTATCCGTGTGCCATTAAAATAGAGAGATGGGCAAGAAATGCGAGAAGTACTTTGATTAGCTGGTACAAAGACCAGCCAGTCGATCTCAAGACTTTTATTATTGGGCAGTTTAAACGACCTTTTGTCATTTTTGCAATTCGATTCTGGGCCAATAACAAACCTTTGATGTCTCTGTGCAGCTTTCTTTCAGAATGCAAGTAGTCAAGTCCTTTCAATATCTCCCTTAGGATAATGGCTATGTCATTTTCTGTAAAAATCCCTGCCTTCATTAAGTCCAGGGCAGATCCTCCACCCAGATATTCCATGATGATCCATAATTTTGAGCCCTGGAAATAAAATAAATTATAACATTGTTCTTGTAAGAAATGTTAAATTATTCAGAGTTTAGAGCTTGAACTGAATGTGTACTGCCATTAGCAACTAATCACAAAATTGTGTGGTCATACGCCCGTTGTTACACACATTTACTGTTTAGATGAAATAGAAAAGATACCCAGTCTAACTTTTTAAAGTTACTGAACATCTTATTTTAACTTATTTTCTTATTGGTTGGAAACATAAAGATTTCTTCCAAATAAGATATAGTCATTAAGAGTTAGCTTATCATATGAGTTATACAGCATGAATCATATCTTTAGCAATGTATAAGAATTAAATACCTTTTTAATAAAATGCTGAGGTGAGATCGATAAACATGGCAGTGTTAATTAGCCACTTTAAAAAAAAAGAGAGTAAAAATTCTGCACATTAAAAAAATAACAGGTCCAAAAAAAAAGTTCTGCTACATTTGACATCAATATTTATATTAGCATTCAGTTTCAATACAAGTTATTATAAAACAAATAATAAAACTTACCTTCAGATATGATCCATAATATTTTGTGACGTAAGGACTGTCACATTGAGATAAAACCATTATTTCTTGTTGAATGTCTTCAATTTCATCTTCAGCCTCTTCCAGATCTATGATTTTTATTGCTAGCACCTCTTTAGTCTCAGTGTCGATACCTTTGAATACTTCACCAAATGAGCCTTTTCCAATTTTCTCAAGTTTTGTGAAACGAATCTCTGGGTCAATGCTCAGCCGGCCCTAAATATAACAAAATATAATCGAAAAGTTTTTCAAATGAATTTTAATTAGAGAATGATTTAGTTTTAAATATAAAATATGTAAATCGAGGTTACAGGCAGATCTTTTTGATTGAAATAAATTATCTATTTATACCAGGGGTCACCAAACTACAGCCAGGGGCTGGATCCAGCCTACGACGCCAGTTCACCAGGCTCGCTGATGGTACTTGAAATTGCTTGATAAATGCTTTGAACATGAGACGTTGTAACACAATTATTAAGTTTACCATTTTAATTATTGTATCCACATTGTCTTGTTTTTTTTGTAATGTTTGCTTAATTGATTTTCAGATTTTTACAGAATTGAGAGTGAATTTCTTCTGTTCCAGCATGCGTTTGATTGTAACATTGAACCTCAGTTGGAGCTCATTGATTTGCAGGCAATTGTCTCATTGAAAAAGAAGCGCAGGGAAGGAAAACTTGTTTCATTTTACCACTGAGTTTCCAGAACTGAAGAAATTTGCTGCTGGTATGGCATCAGTGTTTGAAACACATTATGTCTGTGGCCAAAAACTTTCCAAAATGAAGATTGTGAAGTCGACACTTCATACAAGATTGACTGATGAACATTTAAAAGCAATTCACTTGATTGGATGCAGAAATCCAAACCAAACATTGATGATTTCTTGAAAGCCAAAGGTCAGTTAAAAAAAATCTCACAAACCTTATTTGCTGCTTAGTTTGTAAGATTCATACATGTGTGCATTAGGCCTGATGTAACTATCTTTTTTGCTTCAGCCATCTTCTTTGTTGTCTTTGCTTTTTGTGCATTGCACGCCACTCACCCATGGTTAACATGGAATACTAAACTTAGTTTTTTCATCTTTTTCCCCAGAGCTTTTGTTATGGCTTGCAAGTACTATACAAAATGATTATGCGACCTGCGCACTTCATTTGTCAATTATCCGGCCCACTGTGAAAAGAGTTTGGTGACCCCTGATTTATACAATTAATTTTGTTGCCAGTTGAAATTAAACCTATAATAAAGAAAATTGAAAGACATCAAAACCCTTTAAAATACAATCTTCAGAAGAAAAAAAAAGTATTTTTTAAGAATAAAACTGGAACAATTAAGTCAAAATTACAATAATGTAAATTTCAAGCCATTAATAAATAAATACAATAGGCCAATCAAATGTCTGATATCTACAACTTCATAAATCTCATCATTGGAGTATATTATATATTTTATTCCACTTACATGAACATCTCTGTTAGTACTTCTCATCCCAGGCTGGTGCTTAACTCTGAGATCCTCTGAACTGTGGGTCATCATTATCTGTAAACCAGGATTTTAATTTAGGTATGACTCCTTTGACCATAGCACATAAAATCAAATACTCTACTTAAAAAAATAATATTTTTAAAAATTACAGGTTGCCCATAAATGAAGCACTTTTAACTTTAATACAGGAATCCAACTAATAATTTGTTTGGTCAAAATTCCAATAATTTTGTTCTAGACAGATTTAAAAAAACTGATATTTGGTCCCTAGGAATGTCTTTTGTCTTATATAACAATTACATTTTTCCAATTTCCCTTTTTAAAATGTTACAGAAGAATGATAAAATAAGGTGAATTACTTTTTAAATATTATTGTAATTGCAGAATATAACTGAAAAAAAATTATTTTAAAATGTATTTATATTGCTGGTAACCACAGAAAATAAGGTTGCTGGTTGAATAGTGATCACATGTCTTAAGCACAGACAGTATAACATGAAAGTACAACAGTCGTTTGGTAAAATGATAAATGCAAATGATTTATTTAAGGTTTTAGCACCTTTTTTGTCAAGTCTCAAATAAACACATATTAATTTGATGAAAAAACAAAATTGTCTATTTTCTATTCCCTTGATGTCATTTTGTAATTTAAATTAACCTATAAAATGTATTTATCTATTTTATAATCTTTATATTATATTCATATAAATTGTTCATTACAATGAACAGACACAACTTATAAGCAGGTTTGAGCTGTGCTGAGACTCTTTATCCACCAAGAACTGTTGTTATAATTATAACATTATTCACAGGTCAAATAAATATTAATTTAAGATTAGCCAGACATGCTTCTGAGTCATTGCTTTACAGACATATAATTGACTTTGTGGAAGTATGAAATATTTCTAGAACCACTCTCCCTGACAATGTTTTAAATAATAATTTTTATTATGTGTTGTATGATTTATATTTTCATTTAACTAGTTGCCTTGGCAGGGTCTTATCGTAAGATTTCAATGTCCTTTTTAAAAAGATATTAATTTTAAAGAAAGTATTGTTGTGGGAGAACTAATCAGATGGACAACTATGAGGATTTACAAGTGAAAAACTTTGCAAACTTCTGATACAAATTTAAATAAATAGTGAAACTACCTCATGTTTTTTTTATGCCACAATGACCTAAAAGTGGGGTTACAGGATAAGAATATGAATAATTCAGAAACTGATATACATAATAATGATGCTAAAGAAAATTGATAATATGATATTATTCTTTTTTTTCATAAATTGTTTAGAAAACCAATAGTCTTTCATCAAACTTTGAATTCTTTATATGGAATTTATTTATCATTTAATTGAGTTTGATTTTTTAAAAAGATAACCTAATATTCACATACCTGCTGACCAGACATCATTTCTTTTGGCTCAATAAATGTAAATTTAATTAGTTTCACAGATAGCAGAGGTGATTTCTTTCACAATCTTATTGATGTTTTGACTTAGAAATAAGGGAAAATAAAAGACATACTATTACTAAGTTTAATATTTACAATTAAGAAAAAAATGTTTAAAAAAAATTATGATTTTTTTTTAATATTAAGGGATTAGGTATTAAGTTATTCTGAGCTCATTTGACATTTTGTGTTACAACAAACCAATGTCCATCTATACCAGGGGTCTCAAACTCATGGCCCGCCGGCCATTTGCGGCCTGCAAGACGATATTTTGTTGCCCGCTACATGACAGCAAAGTTTAGTGTCAATGCGGCCCACAGGTTTTCACCATTCTCATATCTATAATGTGACCCTCTGCGATGGTTTCAGTAGAATCTCACAGAATAGTCTAATTCTGATTTTTTATTATATTTGTATACATTTGGAATTTGATTATAATGGTAAAAACCGTTTTAAAATAGGACCAAAGTTTTTATTTTATAGCATTTTATGAGACATTCCTAACCAAAGTGTAGTTTTGAGAAAAGTTTAAAAATTCAGTTAATGGGCAATGCACATCCATAATTTGTAAAATCGTATCAATCTGACACAGTATCAAAGAATAGCTATTAAAATTGCCGAAAGTGTTTACGAGTGAGGGAAATTCCGAGCCTGTCAACTTGGTCACTTTCAAAGGTTAGTCAAAAAGCCATTTCTACAATAAAAAAAAATCAAAGCATTCTGCACAAAACTTGTGTTATGGTTTTTAGAGAAACCTCTGCCATTTCCCAATATGCAAAGTACTCATACTGATGCTATTGCAAAGCTACAAGAAGAATTTGTTCACATATTTTTAGACTTCAAAACACACAGCCACTTTTCAACTTTTCTCCTTTAATGTGGAAGATGCAGGCGCTCCCCCCCTCCCCTTTTTTCCACCTCAAATGGAGCTGATTGATCTTCATTACAATTCTAAATTCAGGGAGGGGAATGGAAAAACAGACCAGAATGGACAATTTATGAGAGCTTTGCCCTACACCAGGCCTGAGATTTCCAGGTTGTTTGAGTGGGTTATGTGCCTTTTTTGGGAGTACCTATCTGTGTGAAAAAGCTCTTTTCCACTATTAACTTTAACAAGCCAAAGTTCAGGGCCAAACTTACTGATGAGGGTCTCAGTTGCTTTCTCTCTCAAGCCAAATGTTGCTCAACTGTGTAAGAAGAAGCGCTGCCAGGTAACAAGGAGTAGAAAGTGAAGCCTAGATCTTGAGAACCCTTAATGTTTTTTTTTGTTATTAATAAAGGTTGAGCAGATTGTAACAGTTGTACTTAATGGCATTTGTAATCACTTTTTTGTGGAATACTTGATGCGGCCCAGTCTCACTCAGACTCTACCTCCTGGGGCCCCCAGATGATTTGAGTTTGAGACCCCTGATCATAAAGTTTAGTTGGCTGTAATTAGCTAAAATTAATATCACTTCTTTCAAGTCTTTAAAATGAAATTGCACCAAAACCTTGTGTCCATATTTTTTTTTCACAATCATTGCACACATAATTATCACATTAAGATAAAGCAAGTGAAAAGATAATACCAGACTTAAAAAAAAAAAATTAAATATTATTTCCAAAACTGCATGAAATAGAATCCACACAGCTTGCAAGTATATAGAAGAATTAGACACAAACTATATGTGTAAATAAAATAATATAAGTTCAGGTATAATGATGATTTTAGACAATACTAATTTTAACGTTACCGCAAATGCCTTCATCAGTACAAAAAACAAAACATTTAAATAGGTATAAATTAAATTTACATAATATATATTTACACGTATCCTACCTAAAATATAGAAAAAAAATAAGAGTGTAGCCTACCCAGACAAAAACAAAGTTAAGAAGAACGGAAAGAAAGTGAGTGGTAGTAAAATGTAAAAACCAAACAGGAAAAAGACATGGCAGCGACGTAAAATTGTGGATTTCAGTTATACCGTATGAAGTCAACGTACCAAACGTTCACATTTGTATTTGTAAAATCATCATTAAAGCTGAACATATATTGTTTATCGACAAAAATTGTTTGTGTCTAGTTTATCTACTTTTAAGCTTTATCATTGTCCAACACTCTTATAATTAGTTAATTACAAGTACCTACGAAGGTTTGCCTAGATTTATAATTTTAAAAAATTGCTAATATCCCAAGTATTAAATAAAAAGTATTGGCAATATCCATTAGTCATTTAAATTGTGGAGATAAAAAAAAGTCATTCAAGTGCTCAAAATACTAGATGCATAATGCTGCTGCTATTTTATAAACTTGTGCATTGTGACTACTTTTTTCACTTATTTATCACTAAAATAATAATTTTCTATAAATACATTTGCTGTGATGAATCAGCATAGAGCAGCTTTGTTTTTTATGTAAGGGCAATGGGTTGATATGCTTTTCATTATATTTTAATTTTATTTTCAGAATTACAAATTGTTATCCTGTCTTGTTTACCTAGGCCTATGCATTTTAAATACTTTACATCTATATCAGACAGGCTGAAGCTTTTCATAAATCACTTGTTTTGAATTCTGAATGGCATTCTATCATATACAAAGTTTCTTTTAAGCCAATGTTATCGGTTTCTGTTTTATAGTTGTTCTTTTTGTGATCAGAAAATATTTAATGTAAAATAGTGCAGCCTGCAATTTCTTTCCATCAATACTTCCAAGTAGCATTTATGAATATGAGGTTTCTTTTTAAATATCTATTTTTATATTCAAATAATACTTCAATTTTTGGAAACTATCTAGGATATTTGTGAATAAGGGCTTAAATTTAACTATAATAGAATTACTAGTTAAAAGTTATGTGTATAATTCAGTTTAAGATTTTGGCTATCTACAATTTTCATTAAATAATTATAGGCTGACATTTATAAATTTGCGGATAAATATTTTTTTTTACTTCATTCCTTTAATGTTAATTTTACTTTCAGATTTTGAGCATTTAAAAGCAATTCAAGATGTACAAATGATAATTGGATTTCCGTAGCCTAATATTTGAAGTATTTAAACATAATTGCACAGTCGATTTTTTGTCTTTGAAATAAATTATTGAACATTTATAAGCCAAGGATAAGGGTAAACAACCATTTTTTTTCCAAAATCTCTGAGCAGCTTAGTAATGGGAAAGTCATTATTGCAGCATTAGAAGATAACTGACTGTAATTTCTATCATATTGCTGCTATCATGTAAAATAATCGGGTGGGGGGAATCAATGTTGCAAGTGGAATATTGGCCGGTGCCTCATATTTGAATATACAGAGACATCAAATTTTCAATGTGGATTTATTTATTTAAAAATAAACTACCCTTGCATAAAACAAGATTAGAACTTAATAGTACATTTTTGGTTAACAGTGTGGGTTTTGCCAAGAGTTGTCTCACCCTAAGCACAGTGCTGTCACTTTGGGGAATCCTCACATTCGACTAAGACTAAGAGTGAAAAGACCAATTGTTGGACCTGAACAATGTGTGTAATAAATCTCTAATTCTTCACTGAGCATTACTCGTGTCATAAACTAAATTTGACAATCGATGCGGTTTTTATGAAGTATATTAAAATAAAATTTTCCATTCATTTTTATTAATATTCAACTTACAAGTTTCAAAAGAAATGAAAAAAGAAACATATCCTTGCTGATACCTCAAGTTAAAAAAAAAAAAAAGAATGTGCGCTAAAAGTGTTGCATTTTGATAAGTCGAAAATCAAAGTACCTGCATGCTTTCATTACTTTATCATTTCAAAATTTCACCATAATTTTCAGGGGAGGGGAGCGACTTTCAATACAAAAATAAGGAAGAAAATAATCTTCTTGGGAGGAGAGATGCCTACCTCATCAGAACCCCTCCCCCAACTTTAAAAAAAAATAGAAAAATGAGACAACAAAAGCAAAAAGCAATCATCAAGTTAACACAAAGATAAAAATATTTTGAATGCTGAGCTGTTGAAAAAAAATGCCTTGGGGGAACCTCAATGACCTATTTACTATGGAAAACATCACTAGCATTACCGCTAACCCAAAATCAGTCGAACTTAACATAAATAATTTTAGCTTATTTATTTACATTAATATTAAATTAAATAGGCCTACAAAATTTGATACCTATTTCTTGCATCAACAATGTAACTGTATGACTGAGACTAATAAAGACAGAGCAAATTAATTTTGACCCAGCTGGAAACTGGGCCAGACATTCAAATGACTGTGACAAGGCCTCTAAATCATGGCCATAGTCGATACCAGTCAAATCAGGAGGTATGGTAACCTACTTATTCTACTTAGGCAGTGTCTACACGTATGGCGCGCCGGACATATATCTCGCGCACTATTTGTCCGGGGACTAAGTCACATGAACGCCGGAAGAATACTTTATCGAGATATTCGTCCTGTGACCAAGTCACATGACCACCGTAACAAAGCCGCGCTATATATTTGTCCGTCAGCCTTGTCACATGACCGCGAATGATTCAAAACTATTGTTAATTTTAATATCTATTTGTCTACCAAGTAATGTACTGAGTATCTTGCAAACAAATATTAGAAAGAAAAAATACTTGGGTATATTACCAAAACAAAATGGGGGTTAAGCAATAATGCATTCTAGAAGTAGAAGGAAGCAATGCTGAGAGGGAGAGAGAATTACGGTAATAAAAAAAAATAAAAAATACGAATGCTAAAATAATAATGAGGGTTATGAATTGTTAGTATATAGGCCGACTAGTTTAATATTCAAAGTCAAACACTTTATGCATCTCAGTGCATATGAATATATTAACATGTTCAGTATTTATTTATTATCTAGGGATCGGAATATCAAATGCAATGCTACTTTTTTGCCGGCGACCACTTGCCGCATGACCTGCCGCAATAATAACGCCTACCAGTCGTCCGGCAGTCAGGTGACATGCCCGTGGGACGTATATCTCCAGCACTATGTGTCCGGCGCGCCGGACGTGTAGACACTTCGTTCTAATTAAGTAAGCCTATTATTAAATTAGATAATATGATCAATTCAATGACATTGCATCTGATGATCAGAATAGCCTACTAGAACAGTTAGGAGTACTACATCATTATAGTGAAATAATATTGCACCATAGTCATAATAATAGGATTAACTTTGTGAGCTGTGTCTCTATTTTAATTTGATTCTTGAAGGAATGACTCAACTCAAACTCAACAAAGGTTAGTGGTCCTCTTGACTTTTCAAGTTAGGAAAAAACAAAGGAAAAAGTATTTATCTTTGCCTTTATGAAAGTAAAGAAAATGAAAATAATAAAAATGGGATTAACGTCCTGTTGTCAATCAGTATCAACGATAAAAAATGAAAATTAGGCTAGAACTAGATTAGAAACTGTCGATCATTTTTTTTAAAATGAGAAGTTCAAGAGAATTTCACTTAGAATATTTAATGTTCTTTAACAATTATTGGAAATATATAAACCTGCTTTTGTTACTTGTAAAAATAAAATGTTCAGTTGTACTATAACATATTCATAGTACTTTGAACCACTTGAAAAATCATGTTGTAGATGTTTTTATTTCTCATATTATATTCTGACAACGAATAACTTCCGCCATCTTGGGTCCTGGGTGTGTCAATTATCGTTCTATCACTATGCGATATTGAATATAGTCCTCTCGTTAAAAAAATAACAGTTGAACGAGTTAACGGGGTTAACTATCATTACTTTCCAATAATATTTTTTGAAAATTTAGAAATCTTAGCGGTAACTTCACGTGCATTTTTTTACAACGATTATATGAATTGATCAAAAGTCTTTAAGCCCAATAATACCAGTTAATATTAGGTTTCTGTTATTTTACCTTTGACCTTAAAAGGTGAGATTTCCCAAAATAGCTGTTCACTCTCAGGACATGAATATCTACTACCGTACATTCTACAATATAGGTTCCCAAAAAATCGCTAACGCCCTTTCTAAATGTTTGTGGTCACCTAAGAATCTTTTTAAAATATACATATGATTGACACACAAATCAACATGGAAATGATTATGAACATTAAGGCATGCATAAACTGTAACTAAAACTGGTATTTTCAAAGTAAACTGTACTTAATAATGCAAACCTGTGTTACTGTGTTATTCAGTAGGATTTACAAGACAAATGAATTAGTCACTGTGCTGTAAGTGTAGTGTTGCCGCCTTGTAAATAAAGGTAATACTATATACGGTGCCCCCGATCTGCAAATTTGCATTTTGCTTGTCTGAACTGAAATCCATTGTACATAATTTGTGAAACCCTTTGAGTGTAGGGCCTGGGAAGAGCTGATAAGATGATAATGATGTTTTATTAGTCTACTTCATTTTTTTTTTTTCTTTTTTTTTACTATGCCACGAATTTGTAGCAAAATATGAGTATTATATTTGAAAATTAAATAATTAAAAAACAGCAACAACGGCCTAAGCCCTGCTAAGGCTTCTAAGTTCTAAGCAGTCGAAATTTTGGAGCACCTCTCGCAATTATCACGTATAAGGCATAAGGTCTAGCCTACTGTAGTATACATAGGCTACTTACTTCATGTCATATCAATAACAACTTTCCCAAAATTTGGATGTTTTAGTGTTTCATAAATAAAAATAAATACGTACAATAATAATCAAAATGTATTCAATTAGCTGAAATTATTTATTTTGGCTAGTGGGATTTCATTTCTCTATCCCCCCCCCTTTTTTCCCATAATAAAATCTGGTAACGCCACAGTAAAAAACATGATTATTATGAACAGAGGCGTAGCTAGACATTTTGGCGCTCGGAGGAAAGATTAATTTTCTTGAATAAAATACTATCTTCCCCCTCCCTTTTAGCTACCCCTCTTATTAAGAACATGACTTAATACTACAGGTAAAAATTTGATGGATAACTTATGATTATGCCGTAGTTGGTTAAAAAAAAATATCTAAAAAGTCTTTTTAAATCCTTTATATTAACTTTACTTTTTTCCTGGCTTGCAAAATCTTCGACCGCCTAATTGAACCACTTCCCGTCAACCTATCAAGCTGAATCGTGGCACATAGACTCGTTGCCGATGACAACAAATTCGATCAAATTTTCAGCACTACCACACAAACCCAACACTAAAAAATCAGCTTTTCATGTTTTTTCAAGGGGAAGATGAAGGAAACACGATGCCACTGATTTCACGAAATAAACTTCTCGATAACTTCGCTAAATGAGATTATTTAAAAATTATACATAAATATCGCAAGTATGTTTGGTGCGTAATATTTTCTTTTGTTTTTCTGAAATATTTGAGAAATATTTCACCCCACAGAAGCCGGGTAGACTGATCAGAGCAAAAGGCTCACTGAAGACTGACTTCACCACTGACATCCCCATAAACAATTACACCAGAAACAAAAGCAAATGCTTCAAAGTGTCTCAGTGCAACACAGTGCAGTATCAACAATCTTTCTTCCCACGCACAATAATAGCATGGAACCACCTGAACGATGCCACTGTGAACTCGACATCAGTCGAAAGCTTCAAGGCTTCCCTGGCATCAGCTAGGAGCTATTAGAATAGCAACATCATACCCCAACCGTTGCAAAGATGCCAGTACATGGATGCAGCAACGAAACATTACCAGAACCAGAATCAGAAATACATTTGTGACGTAAAAACGTATGGGACATTAGAATATTAATATAAAAACAATAATATGCATATAAAATATGAAGTATATATTCGAAAATTTTTGTTTTTAAGGGTTGTTAAATTTAATGTTGTTTAATTTAATGTTCTTGTGACTATGTCTGTATACATCTAACTCTGTGGCACATGTAGACGTAGGTTTATGAAAATGAGAGTTGAGCCTATTTGTAACTTCATTTTCTTGCGTGGTATTCTCACCAATGTTGAATGTATCTTGATTAGGATCACACAATTCATGTTTGCAGGAAGCAAGGAGAAAGCAGAAACGCTGAGATTTTCTGTTTCTTCAATAGATTTTTGTACAACTTTCTTTCTTTTTTTAAATGGAGTTACTTTCATTTTTTAATTAATTTTATACGGACTGTTGCAAATTTAAGGACGGTCGGCAAGTCTGCGACTCCCTTCCTCACCCCCCAACCGAAAATCCTTTATTAGCTTGCTTGCTTAAACTTAAATACTTTTCACACAAATTTTGGATAGCTTTTGAGAGGATAAGTAATATTAATTAATTACAAAAGTGCGAATCACAGTGGCTTCCCCTGAACCTAATTTCAAGGAAGTTCAATTTTTAAATTTCAATAGTACATGCAGAGGCGTAGCGAGGGTGTTTAACGCCCGGGGACAAGATTCGCGCCTGGGGACAATAAAATAAAATCAAAGCACATTTTGGCGCCCCTAACTAGCTGGCGCCTGGGAACATCTGTCCCCCCTGCACCCCCCCCCTTACTACGCCTCTGAGTACATGAACTATCATTACTTTCAATGAGGGGGGGGGGATGGGGGGGGGAAGTGATTAAACAAATTCAAAGCATGGACGTCTTTATAAGATACGATTCTGTATGGATCCAAATAGATGGAAATGTTTTTTTGATTATATTGTACAAATTCATTTTCAGCGCATAAATAAATAAAATGGTATATTTTTAACCAAGTAGAACAGAAAATACATGTGGGAAAGAACAAACGTCATGATCCTCCTTTTTTAATGGCTGGGGGAGGGGGGGCAGTAGTCGTGTACCTAAAGATCACGTCCATTTGTCTATCTTTTGTTCTGACTGTAAGTAATAAAAAAAAAATAAAATACCCTAGCGAAGAAAGGTCGCATAATACCCTCAGCTTTTTGTTTTTAGCCACAAATCATGTAATAGAGGCAGTGCCGTCTTAAGGCATGGGCACAGTAGGCACTTTCCCAGGGCCCTGCGCTTCTAGGGGGCCCCTTGCTTCTAGGAGACTCACTCTTATAAAGGCTTCATGTTGCAAATACTGTTAATGAGTATTGAAAAGTTTTAGCAATTAAATTTGATTTAAAAATCAGTGGACAGCACGTTTTCCCATTTTAACCCACGATTTTATCGGGACCTTCCAATATTAATATTATAAATGCGAATCACAACTGGATACTTTTTAAACTTTTAAATGGGAATAACTATCATCTAAAAGTTTTACTTCTCAGGAATGAATTTTTTATTTTTATATATATATTTTTTTTGGTATAAATAAGTTGAATTAACCAATTTTAACTTTATTGAATGTTTATTCTTATTTTACAATGTTATTCCTCTTGGTGAGTTGGGTTGGGACCAACGACTGTTTTCGGCCTCCCCCCTCCCCCCCCCCCCCAACTGTTTGAGCATGGGGTGAGTGCCCCACTTAGCCCCACTTTTAACGACCCTGGTGTGTTGTGTTGCTGGGGGCTCCAGTGCATTGCTGTGCCCAGGGCCACCTATGTTCTTAAGACAGCCCTGAATAGAGGCTCTGAACTGGTCCCATTTCATAAGATAATTTAGTAATTTAGTACAATAATGGAATACAATGTTTTAAATAAACATATTATATATCAAAGAAAAAGGTGTTTGCGGTTAATCCTAAATAGGGTTAGTCAAAAGTAAGAAGGCGGCCTTTACTGTAGCGGAAAAAAAAAGTGAACAGAATATCAACAAAATAATTTTAAAAAGTATAGCAATTCTGGGAGCAATTTAAAAATCCTCTTCACATCATGAACTTGACAATTGCACATTTAAATGTATAGCCTACACATTGTTGTTGACCCGAGCGTGTCAGTACAGCTGGCGTGTTTGGCAATGATAGCCACTGTCAGAGACAGCTGGTACCGCAATATGCAGACCGACTGTTGGTGATGGTCTCAACACTATCTGCTACACTGAAACAACTAGGGCACCTCCATTCAGCGGTTCTCATATTTAAATCAATTTATATCTCTTGACACGATTTATTTTATATTTCTGTGTTTTTAATTTAAAAAAAAAAATATAATTTGAAAAACACATGAGGTATTAACAAACATTTTGGAAGATCTGGTTGTTTAAGAAAAATATATACTTTGAAAAACACATGAGGTATTAACAAACATTTTGGAAGATCTGATTGTTTAAGAAAAATATATACTTTGAAAAACACATGAGGTATTAACAAACATTTTGGAAGATCTGATTGTTTAAGAAAAATATATACTTTGAAAAACACATGAGGTATTAACAAACATTTTGGAAGATCTGATTGTTTAAGAAAAATATATCAAGAAATGCTTTCTTGACAGGTGGTATGCATGTGAGTATGCGTATGTGTACGTGTGTTTTTTCGGATAGCGTTGAACGCTGATGTTTAATCTCTCACCAAATGGCTGTTGTCTTTGAAAATTTAAGGGTTGAAATTTTGACTAAAATTTTCACATTCTCTCTGAGTCGGACCACGATTCCCACAATTTCTCCACAGTCGGCGATACTAGTTAAAGTATTATTTATGTTCCTGACAGTGTGTACACCACTTACAAAATCACTGGCGTAGGACGCGGGGGGCCGCGGGTCGGGGGGGGGCTTGGTTCAGAGGCGTAGCGAAGGGGGACAGATGACCCCGGGGGCCAGCTAGTTTGGGGCGCCAGAATGTGCTTTGATATTATTTTATTGACGAAAATGATGGGTTTGAGAGTTGAAAAAAAGAAAAAAAAAAGTGTGTGTGTGGGGGGGGGGGGGGG